GAACCCAGTGGTGTTTGTTTAGTGTACACCGGGCACAACGCACCATTGTTTCTCCTCGTCCTGGTGACTTCGTTCTGAGTCTATCGGTTGGGAAAGAGAGTTGCACTCGTAGCCACGGTTGCACTGCGCCCTTTTCTTCGGGCTAACAGACCGGCTTTGTTACAGGTTGTTTACTTTAGTGCTAACCACACAGAGTGTAATGACAACAGACGTAGACTGCTCTCCTCAACCAAGTGCTTCGGGTGCTCAGCAAGCAGCACCGACCTCTCCTTCTCTCCAGGCGACAAAGAAGAATTTCTTGCAGAGGCTTACTGCTCTCTTCTGTGTGTATTGCTCTAGTCTTCCGGGTTTGCCATGGCCTCCGTCTTGGCAGGCTTCCGGTTTATTAGAAGCCGGATGTGGACCGGAGCACGCAGACCGCCTCAGCTTAGACGGGGCCGCTCGACTGTGAGTCGACTGTGTGCTTCGAGCGACAAACAGGCTCACGCCTTTATGTTACCATGTTATTAATTCGTTTTTTTGTCTCTTGGGCCTTTATGCTAAATAGTTACTCGACTCTATCCTGAATAGCGATGGTGGTCTTACACCTTCAATTCTCGCAGGGCACGAACGTGTTCTGAAGGGACTTCGGCATATCTAAAACATCGCCTCTCGCATAATCAGGCCGGTACAGTAAATATTTCTCATATAGTGTCACTTGGCCCTAAAATAACGTAGCATCCGCTCTGATACAGTGTTTACCTATTTCTAACCTCGATCTTTCTACCGGTTCGCTGCTGCCCGAACCATGAATGAAAAAATAACTGTCTACATGCTGTCGTCTGCTACGGTCCGACATGCCCATAAACTGTCCGGCTTGCCGACCATTTGACAGGCCTCCGATTTTAATGACCCACCCATGTACTTTATTCTTGCTCTCTACACGGTCGAGTCTGACAAGCGACCACACTAACCAGTGTCTCGCCGTTACAACAGTCGGCTGACCTATTCAACCCCATAAACTGCTTCTCCAAAGAGTGGTCGCACCAGTGACCACCAATTAAACCAAACTGTACTTTACATCAGGCTTGTGCACCGCTAAGCCCACTACAAACAGTGTCTGACTGGATCCAGACAATCGTCTTCCTCCAA